TTTATTGTCCAGCTTTCACATGCTTATGATGAAATTGAAAGTACCATGGCTTGAGTCTGACACACATTATTCTTTAAATTGACGTCCTTTCTCTTTGGCACTTTAACGAGGTCCTTGACTGCAGGTTTGCCCAGTGTTGGGTTTCTTAACTGTTGCTTTCCTGTTGCTGTTGATTGGTACTATTGTTCATTACGACTCGTCACGACCCTGTGAATAACAGACCTGAAACGTGCCCTAGCCTGTGCTGTCCTCATTGTCTTTGAGATACTTGACACAGTCACTCTGTCAGTTCGTCTCATTGTGGGTCTTCTCTTCTTTGCTACCTCTCCACTGTTCCAAGCGTGATGTCCTTTTCCAAGGACCAAGCCGTTCTAATGTGCCCTAGGTGTGTAAGATGAAGCCAAGCGTGATGTCCTTTTCCAAGGACCAGCCCTCCTAGACAGCCCTTCGAACATGTCCTAGGTGTGCCGAATAAAGTTTAACCAACCTTGCCTCCAAGGTGCACTCTGGCTGCACTTTCTCCGAGACAGGTTGGTGGTTCTTTGGCAGTCCATGGGATCTTCATTGCTCTTCTCCAGCACCCCAGTTCAAAAATGAAAGACATAAAATGATTTCTCTGTCATCTTTACTTATTGTTCAGCTTTCAGATGCATTGGAAGTAATTGAAAAGACCATCACCTAGATAAGGTGCACCTTAGTTTTCAAACTGATGTCTTTGCTCTTTAGCATTTTAGAGAGGTCCTTGAAGCAGATGTTCATGTGTTTTGATTTCTTGACTTCTGGTACCATGCTTGTTGTGGATCCAAACTGTTTTCATAGGTGGTTGCAAATTTAATTAAAATGGTATCATTAACAACTTCAGTAATATCTCCATTTATCAAGTTGTTGATTTTTAGCAACAGTACCTTGTATAGCAGTGGTTGAGTCCTTGGCTACTAACCAGAGCTCAGTGGTTCTATCCCATCATCTGATTCTTTAGGGAATGTTGCGACAGCTTCCATAAGGATTGTTGGGGACTATTAGGGATGAAGGGAGGGCCTCTGGCCAGGACAGATCACCTGAGCTCCAGATACGTGCAAGCCTCCCAACGGCCTTTAATGCAGGATAGAGAAAGCTCCCCTGTGTTTGGCTGTACTGGCTTGAGAAAGCTCGCCACCCGGAAAGACGGGGGCTGCATCTGCTGACCTGGGAGTGGTCCACAGGAGGTTGAGGTTCTCCTAACCAATCCGCATGTCCCACGTCTGTAAGCCCACCCTATCCCGTCTCCCTGTTTACATGCTTATATATAAGTGCACTGCAGTCCCAATAAAATTGAGCTGTATTGACTCTCTGATCCTGTCCCGGAGTGGTGTATCTCCATCATGCTTACCCCCATCAGGGTGTTGCTGTTAAGTTGCCAGCAAACAGACAGCAACAAGGGATGAGTAGCTTTCAGAGCCCTGTGGAGCATCTCTGACCTTTAGGACCAGTGTGAGGCAGTATCAGCTTGATGGCAGTGGGTTTGGTTTTCCAAATCTGTGAAGCCTTGGGTAAGCACTTGGCTGCAGACTGAAAGGTTGGTAATTCAAAACCACCAGGTACTCTGCAAGAACCATGTGGCAGCCTAGTCTATAAGATTTCAGCCTTAAAACTATACAGGACATTTCTGCTCTCCTCTAGGGTCCCTTAGGATAGGACAGGGCTCAGATCTGTTGTTCATAGGATTGCAACGAGAAGCAGTCAACTCTGCAATATCTACCAGCAGCAGCACCACCACCAGCACCACCACCACTGGCACCACCACCAGCACCACCGAGGGTCCCTATGAGTCACGATAGGTTTGATGACAATAGTTTCTGGGTTTTGTTTTCTTTTTAGTATTTGAGGTGCTAGAGAAGTGTCTTAAAGCAGGAGGGAACACAGTTACTCTTGCAGGCATGATGAGTTCCAAGAATTGACGTGCTGAAGTCAGGAGAAGCAGTTGTGAAGCCAGAGTGTACTGAGGCAAAATTGGATTTGCAAAGTCCGTGAGCTGCAAAACTGATAAGGCTGGTTCCAGGGCCAAGTGTACGTGGTGACAGGTGCCCCTCGTACTCTGACCCTATACGGGGTCCACACAGGTCTGCGCTAAGGTGATGTTACCGGGTGTGCTAGGCTGCACAGGTCTGCATTCAGATGAGGATACCAGGTATGCAGCGGCTGTACAGGTCTGTACTAAGGTGAGGTCACCAGGTGTGCAGGGACCACGCAGATGTGCACTAAGGTGTGGCTACCAGGTGAGCTGGGGTGTACAGGTCTACCTAGTGAAGTTACTTGCGCTTGCGTCAAGACAACCAAATGTCTGCTGAGAGAAACAACATATGTTAGCAGCAGTCATTTCACAAATACAGAGTATGTTTTTAAAAGCACTTTTTTACATACATATTTTAATCATTATAATAATGTTATGGGCTGGAACCTGACCCTATTCTTTTTTAAATAAAATTTTTTTAAAAAATTTCATTTTAATAAAAGTTTACAGAAAAGTTAGATTTTCGTTCATTTGTTGCTGCACATTTTATCCCCTCTCCCTCCCTTCTCCCCCGAGCTGACTTTTTAAAAACTAGTTTATTTTACAAAATGCTAATACAAATTTGAACAAATTTTTTCAATTTCCCTCACTCCCTCACCCATCAAATTTTATAACCCCATGATTAATCCCCTCTTCCCCCTGCACATCCACATCCCTCTGCTTCCAGCCTCTCCCACCCCTCCTGGATCCTTATACTCTTTCTACAATAATGGTTTTATACAATATTTATCCTTGTGGAACAGAGTTAATTCACTCAGCATAATGCTCTCCCGCCCCTCCCAAGTTAGGTAATAATTTACAAAGTTATCGCTCCTGTGTGCTGCATAGGATTCCGTTGTATGAATATACCATAATTTCTCAATCTTGGCCCTATTTTTAAAATGAAGAAACCAAGCCTGAGAGGGTTAGTAATTTTTTTCAGAAACATGTTGCAGAGAGAGGGTCTAGGAGCCAGGTTGTCGGATCTGAGGGTTGTTGGTGAATTTTCCCTTAAAACGTGGCAGCTCTCACTGTGATTGGAGTCAGAGTGAGTGCAGGGGCAGTGCCGTCAGCTTGCCATGGGGAAGAGAGGTGTCCTGAGCTGGCTATGGGCAGGCAGGGCCAGGACGAGCACGTCCAAATGAAGACCAGGGGACCCAGGCGGAGGGGTGCTGAGGGACAGGGCTGACCAAGGCTGCTGCAGGGTCAGAAGGTGGTCGTGGGGGGCCTGAGTGGGGTCCACTAATGTTCTTCTGTCTTGATTTTATCAATGGGCCGTGCACAGAACCTCAGAAAACCTTGGGCAAGGGCATTGTTCAGCAAATAGAAGCCCTTGGCGATATTTACCCTCCAAAATCATATGTGCTTCTCTAGAGGCCTTTCCAACCCATGTCGACTCGTAGGTCAGGGCAGACCAGTGTGGGTGTCCAGGGCAGCATGGATGGAAGCCCACAGACCCGTACATGGGTCAGAGCAGACCGTGTGTGGTGTCCAGTGCTGTAGTGTGGCTGGAGGCCCACAGACCCGTGCATGGGTCAGGACAGACCAGAGTGTGGGTGTCCAGGGCTGCAGCGTGGATGCAGGCCAACAAACCTGTACATAGGTCAGGGCAGACCAGTGTGTGGTGTCCAGCACTGCAGTGTGGATGGAGGCCCACAGACCCGTGCATAGGTGAGGGCAGATCAGTGTGTGAGTGTCCGGGATACCATGGATCGAGGCCCACAAGACCCGTGCATAGGTCAGGGCAGACCAGTGTGGATGGGAACTGTCATTTTCCTTCTGTGGAGTGGTGGGTGAGCTCTCGCTGCCGACCTTGTGTTTGTCAGCTGGGTGACGTAGCCAGTGCTCTGTGGGGACACCTGATCTTGGCTGTCCCCACCCCCTGCATTCGTCTCAGGCACGGGAAGGCCGTGGGGAGGTTGGTGGGGAGACGGTTAAAATGCTTGCCCTCACAGAGCTCTTCAGAGACAAGTGGCTTTGCTGACGGGGAGCAGAGCGTGAGATGGGCTCCCAGGACAGGAGGCCTCAGACGGGCCATGTTCCTGCCGGGAGGGCAGCTTGGTGGCAGGGACAGGGAGGCACTTCAGTGGACGCTCTGGGAGGCCGGCAGAGTTGGGCGGTTGGCCCTCTCTAGGTCCAGGGTTCCACTTAGGTTTTCTCAGCCTTGTGAAGTACCCCCCAGGTTCCTCAGTATGGTGGTTGAAGCGGAGGTCAGCTGCTGGGGACAGGGAGATGAGTGCAGAGCTCACGAAGGACAGGGAGCGTGGATGTGACAGCGTGAGGGGGCACACGAGCTGTGCAATAGCCGCATTTTAGGTGGAGGACACATTGAGATCAGCTTTCCACGGCCTCTTGAGTTTTCAGAAGGTGAGGTCTTGGGCCGTGGCTCGGGGGTGCTTCCAGAAGTGTAAGGTGGGGCAGGATTCAGGGGTGCAGTGAGATGGCGTAGAGGGGTGAGCAGCCCCTGAGCCGGACGGCATTCATCAGCGGGGTTTGGGGCTGGTCAGGTCTTTTCAGGGACTGACGTTTCGATGATCATCATTCGTCACCTCAGGAGAATAGATAAACGGGTGGTGGGACCCAGCAGCCTTGATGTTCACAGAAGTGACTGTTTAGGTTATGTGATTACTTGATGTCCTCATTTCTTCTCAAATTGGAATAATAAGTTGGGATACGCTGCGGATGGTCCTGGATGGAAACTTTTAAGTGTTCTGATCACTTTGATCATGTTAGAAAAAATGCTAAAGATGAGCTGAACCTTTTTATGATTTTTCTGTAAAAACTTTCATTTTAGCGCTTGTGGTTTTCTTACACTTTGAGAACCTTGAGGCCGATGGTGAAGGTGTGGGATTATTCTGTTTTCACTCTAAGGCATCATTTTGTAGCTTTGTCAGTGAACTGTGGAGAAGAGCCCCTGAGGCTCCCCCAGCCTCCGGACACCCACCCCATTCTGACCCCATCTCTCTGCCAGTTTTCGGAGTTTCCAGATCCCACGTGGGGCTCGGATTACGTGCAGCTGTCCAGCCCGCCTGTGCCCCAGGAGCAGAGATGTAACGCCGTCTCCTGGGAGGAGCTCAACTCCATGGACCTGCCGTCCTTCGAGCCTGCCTTCCTGGTGCTCTGCCGTGTCCTCCTCAACGTCATCCACGAGTGTCTCAAGCTGAGGCTGGAGCAGAGGCCTGCGGGGGAGCCCTCCCTCCTGAGCATTAAGCAGGTCAGTTCAGAGTCCGACGCCCCGCCTGGCCCACCCGCACCCTGTGAGGTGCACTCCCCACCACCCGAGAGCTGGTTCCTAGACCAGACTGCCCGGCCTCTCCCTGGACCAGCCGGCGGCACTATGCCACCAGGGCTCCGTCAAGGTCCCTCAGCCACGTGCATTGTGTTGCGAGTTCTTTATTTTGGATGTGGTGGAAGATGAGTGTATGTTAGTGTGCTTTAAATGGTTCTTCTCCATTCTGAGGCTCTGAATCTCCTTGGAAAGAGATTACTCATCTTTGTCCAGAGGAGCAGCTGGTGTATTTGAACTGTTGAACTTTAGATCAGCAGCCCAGCCCAGCACACATGCGTTATGCCTGGAGAGCTCATTGGTTTTTTATAGTCAGCCTTCAGAGATGATCATGAAATTCATCCTGTCCTAAAAGTAGATTCAAATATGGCCGTCAGTGTACCGTTAATATCAGTCTACGAAGACTGAACACTTACATTTTTATTCATAAGAGTTAATGAAAAATTGTTTTGTCCTTTGAGTGAGATTACAGAGAGTCTGCTGTATCCAAGGATGTATTTGCAGCACGTACAAATACTTGTGTGGAAATACCCAGGAGGAAGTATTTTAGTTGCTTATATGACATGTCCTAGTGTTCATGCTGTAAGAATTGGTTCTTTTTCTAGTCTGAGTTCTGTTCCCTCCCCGTCAAGACTGTAGCGATGCTGAGAAGGGCTGCACTGGTGAGCGCTCCGCACGGTGGCCTTGGTGTTCCGGGGCCAGGATCTGTGCTGTCAGAAGTCGCGGGGGCCTTCCCGCGACGTGACGCCTCTCCTTGCCTTCCCGTAGCTGGTGAGAGAGTGCAAGGAGGTGCTCAAGGGCGGCCTGCTGATGAAGCAGTACTACCAGTTCATGCTGCGCGAGCTGCTGGGCGGCCTGGAGCAGACCGACTGCAACATGGACGCCTTCGAGGAGGACCTGCACAAGATGCTCATGGTGAGGTGTGGGCAGGGCGCGGCGTCTGTGCCCACGCTGCCCATCTAGCGTGGATCCTCGTCGCAGCTCAAGTGAGAAGGCTTGAAAAGTCTCAGCCTAGTTCCTGTTTGATTGCAGGGCAGGTCTCTTGTAGGATGTTCAGGAGAGCATCGGGGACCGCCAGTTTTATTTATCAGTCTCTGGTCAGCAGCTGCATTTCCATTCCTGGCATGAACTGGGGGCCTTGTGAGGCACTGAGGACACGGTGCTGGACCAGGAGGTGGCATATCCAGTGTCGTGGGTGGTCCAGCCACAAGTATATGTTACGTGAGGTTATGCTGTGAGCACGGATTTGGGGAACCTGCAGGCGTCTGGCCCAGCCAGGAAGTTCTCCCCAGAGGAAGCTGGACCTCAGGGAACAAGCTGTAAGGTGGTTGGCACACGCTGAGAACTGGCTTGGCAGACACCAACCTAGCTCTCCTGCAGGGACCCCTGTCTTTCCACGGGCCAGGCGCCTCTGTGTGCTTGCCAGCTGCTGCTTCTGGGCCAGCAATGTACTTTCTGCTCTTTCATGCTTTAAAGCTGCTTTAACCATTGAAAACTTCTCCACGATGTGGGGTTGTTGTTGTTGTTTTTAAATGAAGCTTTCTTTGACCTTTTAAGCCCTTTCTCTGTCCCTTCTCCCCTAGCACTTATGATTACAGATAGACTGTAAACAGTAACATTTAGTGACAGGCCCTGCTGTGTTCTCAGGTTCTCAGACTCACAGAAGGGCTCAGGAGGCAGCAGGCCTGTATCGTCTGGCCGTACTCTGGTGGCTGTGGGTGTACGGTGTTTGTATGGTGATGGCTTCGTTGGGGTGGATGATGACATGGCAGGTCACGACACGAGGCAGGTAGACACAGCACACCTGGGTGTACTGATGCTTCAGGGTACGTTCAGCCCCATGACAGCTGGGATCTTCAGATGCTGTCACCTGTCCCCACCTCCATGCCCCCCACTTTCCGGGCTGCCAGAAAGGGTAAGGTGGATGGCATGGCACCTTAGAAGCCAAGACCAGGCCCTTCCCACCCATGTAGACAGATGTCTCCAGAAGCCCCGAGTGCAGGTTCCTCAGCTGCCTGTGGCCTAGGGCCCGTGATGGAGGCTGAACATGAGGAGGCCTGTGTTCTGGCCTCTCTAGTGAAGGCTGAGGAGAAGAATGTGGTTGCAAGCAAGGCTTCCATCTCATATATTACGGGAAATAATTTTAACAAGTCTGAAATTATTTCACAATTATTAAGGGTTAATTAGGACCTAATACATAAAGGACCAGAGTATCTGCAGTATGACCACATGTGAATACTGGACACTATTATGTCCTAAAAATCCTATTGAAAAGTTAATAAAAGTTGATAAAAGCAATAAGCACTTTCCCCCCCTCCCCTTCTTAATGGGAAATTAAACCAGAGGTTTAAAAAGACAAGGATAAGATGTGCTTTGCTTTTCATACTGTCCATGAGGGTTCCTGAAAGGACACATGGAACAGCTCTCGGTACTTGGTCACACAGGCAGGAAGGCGGAGAAGGTCTGGGCTGGGGAGATGGCCCTTCCAGGCTGTTTCAGGTCTGCAGTGTGCCGGTGGAGGGTTCTGCGATGTCCACCGTGACTCGCCCAGAGCCAGTTAGCCATGCTCAGTTCTCACTGCCACTGGCGATCCGCATGTGATCCCTCCATGCTGTCACCTTCATTCCACAGACTAGGATGCTGGCCGTGATCACTAGTTGACCATTGGGCCCTGATAGTGCCTAGAAGGGCCAGGAGCAGCCAGACAAAAGCAGGGCTTTGTTAAGGAGCAAAGAATGGCTGTAGGCTGGTAGTGCCTTCCCTTGAAGCCACCAGAGCAAAGAGATGAAGAAAACAATTATCTGTTCAGTAAGGCAGGCACCTGGCCGCAGACTCCCCCATTTCTCTAGAAGGAAGGATGGACTAACTGAGGCTGAGCAGAAGGCCCTGAAGGCACCGTGTGGACATGGCAGGCCCAGGCCGTGACAGGTTAGAGCCGTGTGGGCAGCGAATCCCCGGCCACATCCCGAAGGACTGCAGATCTGTGAGCAGGGGCCTCCCACGTGGTGTGCAGCCTCCCTGGCAGGCAACAGGGCTATAAAGTGGAGCTGTCACATGGATGGGAATGACTAGCTGGTTGTGGCTTCAGATTATGATCTTCTGTTCCCAGAAATCTGGGGGGGGGGGGGGGGGGGGCACACTGAACAAAGGAAAGTACAGGTGTGGCAGGCACTTGAGGTGATAAAGGAAATTGAGGCTGAGAACTTCCGGGGCGGGGGGGGGGGGGGGGGGTGTCCCGGCCTCAGAATGACCCAGCGATAAGCATAGCATGTGATAGGGGAACAGGTGATGGTGTGGAAGGAAACCACTCTAGCTTTTTAAAATAATGAAAATCTGAAAGAAGTAAGACTTGAATGTCTTAGAAGTTACACAGGAGAGTGAGCACTTGTTGGAAGGAAGGACCTGGAGGACAAACTGCCTTAGCCCCACACGCGTTCCTCAGGCCCTCCTGCGTGCTGGGGGTCACAGGGGACACTACGCAGACCTGGGGGACCCTGGGGCATTGGGACAGGCCTGTGGCTGGTGTGGACTCTGCTTTAGGGCCTCGTGGGTCACTGTGTGTGTAACAGTTAAATGGTAACTCATGCAGAAAATCACGTTTTACATTCTAGTAGAATTTAATGTAAACATATCACAGACACATGGTCATGGACAAGGTTGTTAGAGAGATGTGGTCCTCTGCTCTCAGCACATGAGATGCTGCTTCATGTTAACACCTGCCAGTGTCAGCCTCTTAAAGGAACACGCACTGCCAGTAGTCAACCTTGCTGGGTGTGTTTGAGTATTTTGTTACTTTATTGTGCTTTTCTGTATATTGGCACCATTCGTTTTTGCTCAGAACTCAGAGGTGGTGAATAAGTTAGAGTTTAGCGGGTCTTTCACATACGAAAATCGTGCCAACATCCGGGAAAGATTGAGAGGTGAAGTCTCTTAAATGTCTCCTTCACGTCTTTGTATTGAAGGTCTATTTTGATTACATGAGAAGCTGGATCCAAATGCTACAGCAGTTACCTCAAGCATCCCATAGTTTAAAAAACCTGTTAGAAGAAGAGTGGAACTTCACCAAAGAAATCACCCACTACATTCGGGGAGGAGAGGCGCAGGCCGGAAAGCTGTTCTGGTGAGAACCCCAGGCTTCCGAGGACGCACCCCACCCTCTCTTGCCCTCACCCTGTCCTGGTGCAGTGGTCAAGACTGTGGGAGAACAGTGTGTCTTACCAGGGGGGTGGGTGTCCCTTCCTCGAGCTGTTGCCCTCAGAACAGTGCTTCCGGCAGATGCCCCTGGGGACTAGGCAGCACCTGCACACAGCTTTGGTCATCAGGGTGGGGAGAGTGCTGCTGGCGTCCACTGAGGTCATACACAGTGCTGAGCCCGTGGAGTGTGTCACGCAGCCCAGCGCCTGGCAGCACCCACCTTAAATGCCAGTAGTCTGCGGTTCGGAGTCAGGCTCTGGGTGCATCCACGGGGGAGGAGGGCTTGAGTCCTCCCTGAGTGGACAGGCCTGGGCACTCCTGGGCAGCCGTCAGGGACTGACAGGGTCAGTATTTTTATGGACTGGTGTTTGGGGATTCACGGCCTCTCTGCAGACGGAGTCTGTGTGATGAGAGAATGGAAACGTGAGTCACGGGACTCTGTGAGGCCGACAGTGAGGCCAGGGAGTTGAGGGCCGGTTTCAGGGTGCATCTGAGTGGGCACCGCTGGTGTCCCCGCCCTCTGGCTGGCTGGGACAGGAGTGCTTTTCTCTGGTGCTTGGAGCTGCCCTCCCCCAATCCCTCATTCATCCTTTGATTTCTTCAGTCACCTTTTTATAAGATGTCTGTGTCCCACCCCATGTCCTTTGATGGACTTGGGTGTCCACGCGGAGTGCTCTGCCTCCTGAGAGTACACGAGATCTCCCCTCGCGCGCTGGCTCACGGCTAGATCCGCAGACCCGCCCTGGTGCACCGTCCTGCTTGTGTCCTCTCCCTAGTGAGGACACACCGTGCCCTGGCCCTCATCCCCGCTCTCCAGTCCCGAGGGGGAGCCCCAGCCCATTCCCTTGTCTCCTACTCAGCCTGGTTCCTGTCGTCAGCCTTTTAGGAAATGCCTTCACCGCCTTCTTCGCAGTCTCCTCACCTTCATCAGCCATGATTCTTTCTGCCTGTCTCTCCTCTGCATTTCCTGTTTCCATGTCTCTCTGGCACTCCCATCACTGCTTCTCATCTCCCACTGACACTCCTTCTTCCCATCACTGCACCCCCATCTCCCCAACACTTCCTCTACTTATCACTGCACCCCCATCTGCCCGACACCCCCTGTCTGCCCACCACTGCACACCTATCTCTCTGATACTCCCTCTACTCATCACTGCAGCCCATCTCCCCAACACCCCCGTCTGCCCATCACTGCACCCCCATCTCCCCAACACCCCCTGTCTACCCATCACTGCACCGTCATCTCCCCGACACACCCTTTCTGCTCGTCACTGCACCCCCATCTCCCTGATACCCGCTGTCTGCCCGTCACTGTACCACCATCTCCCTGACACCACCCAGCTGTCAATCACTGCCCCTATCTCTCCTGACACCCCCTCTGCCCATCATGGCATCTCATCTCCCCTGGCACTCCTCCTCTACTTGGTGGTGGAACCAGGCGGGGCTGTCTCTCAGCTCTGATTCTCTAAGGACTCACTCAGCACTTACCTGCTGCCACAGCTGATGTTGGTTTTATTCTTTTTTGCCACTAGAGAAGCCTCTGCTGACCTTGAACATCACAGAGCTAAGTCAGCCTTTTCCTGTACTCGCACTGATTCATGCTACACATTTGCATTTACATCTTAAATAATATCAAGGTGTTTGCAGCAAGGCGCACCAGCTGTGTAGAACAGTTCATGTTCATATCTGGTTGCGTGGGGAACTTTTAAAAGTCATTGTATTTAAGGAATTTACTTTCTTGTCTCATGTTAAAATTTGTGAACTTTTAAAAAGCATCTTGCCATATCTGTATCTAAGGTCTTTTTAGACCAGTTGGAACATGTAAGAGGCAAATAATATTTATGTAAAAACTGCACAACTTCTAAGAATCATAGAGTTTGTAATGTAGAACTAGAACAGTGGGAGGTACATAATTGAGATTTCTGCATTTTCACATTAATCTTGATTTTATACTGAAAGGATATTTTTATGCACTATTAAACAACAGGCCTCCGGAAACTCTATGAGCTTTGAGAAATGTCGATAGCTGTAGAGGGGCTTCAGGCCTTTTGTTCATAGGGTCGCTATGAGTCATGCTCGACTCGAAGGCAATCAACAACAGCAGCATTGAAGCAAAAGTCTCTCCACTTGGTATTTAATAATCAGAAGAGGAAGACCACTCTTCTTCTGTGCTTTATCCTGGTGTTCCTCTTCCTGTAGCGACATTGCTGGGATGCTGCTCAAGTCGACAGGCAGCTTTCTGGAATTCGGCTTGCAGGAGAGCTGTGCTGAGTTCTGGACCAGCGCTGATGACAGCAGCGCTTCCGATGAGATAAGGTGGGTGCTGCCCTCTTTCCCGTCCTGTGTCTTCTTTCACACGCTTTTATTCCTGCCAGTAAGCACAGACAGGCTTATTCGCACCACCCGCTTCTGGTACCTTCGGAAATGGGTAAATACCTCAAAGGACTCAACTGTCTTGTCTTATGTGATCTCTGGGCCAAAGTTCATTTTTCTGAATGTTTCTTTGCAGGTGAACTTAGACTTGAGTTGACCTAATAGGACTGTTATGCCCTTAGAGAAGAATATAGATTCCGTTAAATAAAGGCGAGTCCTCCCCGCACAGGCCTAGAACGTCCTTAATGAAACAGGAGTTTTCTGCCCACGAATGCCTGCAGCCAGCCCATTGATAGCTTAGTGGATTTTGACATTTTATGCTGAAGTTCTTGCTCGTTCATCTCTGACACTTGCCCCAGCTCTACACAGTCAGAGCTTCCCATGAAGTTTTTGGTTTGAGGGCATAGATATGAGCGGTAATACCATTTTGCGGCCATTTATCTGCCATTTCTTATGATTTAATCTTGGTCACTGCTTATGAAGATCTGACCTCCCAAGAGCAGAAATGGTTTGTCAGGACACAGTTTTGTGAGAGATAATTTTGACTGTCTTCTTCGCCATGGTTCTAAAAAGTCTTTCCCATGTAGGTTCTCACCTGGGAGAGAATATTGGGTAGTTGCAAAAATGAATGCATGCTTTGTAGAATACATCCTTTGTACATCTTGCTGTTTTGAGAACTAGCATAGTCATAGTAAATTCAAAATTAGAATTGGAGTTAAAAAACCAAGTTGGCAGACTAGATAATGGCTCTTAGGCTGTTCAAGGTGGCTGTTAACCAGGGTCGCATTTGCAGAGTGCATTTGTGCAGGGCTGTGCACGAGCTGGTGCTGCTGCCGGCTTGAGGAAGTCAGGTGTCTGCGTGTCCCTCCCAGCTTCTTGGTCAGGGATTCCATCCCGGCCCTAGAAGCCAGCTGGGATTGGAGTGTTTCCACTGGGAATCGGTCGCCATGCCACCCAGGGCCATGTTTTAGAAGTGCTCCCTGTTAACCTCACCAGCACACGCTGGAGGAATTGAGGATTCAAATAAATGAGCTGGATACAATTCTTTTAAAAATGGAATATACTGCTATTTTAAGAACACAGTGTGTAGAGAAAAGTTTGAAGAGCACCTTCTGAGTCTTTGAGAATGCATTTGAAAATTTGTGTTCAGGTTTTAAAAATACGGTCTTGTTAACATGATTTGAAATTTGCCTCATCTTTGCTTTTGAATGTCTGCTTGGATCTGGGGTGTATCCCTTGTTGTTGAATGTCTCCTGGGACTTGGGGTGTATCCCGTGTTATTGAATGTCTCCTTGGGCTCGAGGTGTCCCTTTGGCTGGGGCTCGGGGTGTCGCCTGCTGAGTCCTGACTGGAGCCCTCCTGTCTTCTAGGCGTTCTGTCATAGAGATCAGCCGGGCGCTGAAGGAGCTCTTCCACGAGGCCCGGGAGAGGGCATCCAAGGCACTTGGATTTGCTAAAATGTTGAGGAAGGTGAGTGAACAGTCCTGGCTCTTCTCTCATTTCCTATGTTTTTATTAAGCCGACCTTACAGAAGTGTCTCTATCTGTGCCTGCAGGACCTGGAGATAGCGGCAGAGTTCGTGCTGTCGGCCCCCGTCAGAGACCTGCTGGGCACCCTGAGAGCAAAGCAGTTCCTCAAGGTAACGGCCCCGCTGCCTGGCGTGCGGGCTCTGTGCTCCTGGCCGGCTCTTCCTGCCAGCTCCAGACAGGCTCAGGTACCAGGGCGGCTCAGCCGACTGCACTTGAACCTGTGGTGAGACAGCCGCTCTTCTTGCCAGCTCCAGAGAGGATACCAAGGCAGCTTTGAACCAGTGATGAGACCACCCTGTAACTTCTCAAGAAGCAATCAGAAAGGCAGCCTTTGTCATACTTGTTTTAAGAATAAAAGGCCAGGGTTTACTCTTATTATGTCCTTGATTGATGTAGTTGCCTGTGAGTATTTAAGGTGAGTTGTATGAAGTAACTGATTTGGTAAAAGCCCTTTCCACCTCCGTTTCCTGAAGCATCCAGACCATTCAGAGGAATTGTTGACGTCTGTGTCCTGCCCAGCACCAGGGCTGGCTTGTGAGTCGTCATTGTGTTGTCCACTTAAGTTGTTAGAGGTTTAGCGTTTTGAGAATCGACGTAGAGTGTTCCCAGAAGTTTTATCCCACGCACACAGTATTATCCTGCCCTAGTACCTCAGGGGTTGTGTATGACCGGTACAACATAACCATGCGTATGCTCCTCATTCAAATGGTCCTTGAACCACTTTTTATGAGACTTTTGGGAATAATGTGTGTGTCTGTGGTAATTTTTTTTTTCCTGAGTCAGATGACATTCCAGAACTCTCCAAACTAGCACTACCTCTGGTCATTTCAGAGGGACTTCTCCCTGAAGAGTTCTTTTCTCTATTCTTTACAATAAAGCAATGAGGAACCTGTTGGAAGAACTTTGCAAGACCCTCTCCACTCGGGTGTCCTTTGGTTAGGTGGTGGTTGTTGTTGTTATGTGCCGTCGAGTCGTTTGTGACTCATAGAGACCCTGTGTACAACAGCCCTAAACTGTGCTCTATCCTGTGCCAATCTCATTGCCTCTGATAAACACATCCCGAGTACCCCAGTCACTGAATCAATCCACCTCATAGAGGGTCTTCCCCTCCTGCGCTGTCCCTCCACTCTGCCCAGCATGATGTCCCTCT